TTTCCTATTATGTACATTGTCATTGTTGAAAGAGAACTAAAACAGTATTCATACAAACTTATAATGACAAATATCTTCTGATATTATCATCATAATTATGTAAATTATTATTGTAGCAATAGAACTAAAATAGTATTCGTACACCCTTACAATAAAGAAAAAGTTTTCTGTAATTATTATAATATGTATATGGTTAATGTAGCAATATAGCTCAAAGAGTATTCATAAAACCATACAACAAATAAAATATACATAGACTGCAATTAATGTAGCAACAGAGAAATGATCATTGCACCAACAGAACTGAAACTTTATTCATACAACCTTATGATCAAGAAAATATATAATGATATTATCGTCACATGTGTGCTGCTCCATGGATAAGAGGACTCTGAAAACGGCAGAGATCAAAACGTTTGAGAGTTTTGAACTTTGAATGTGGAAGAAGATGGAAAAGATAAGTTGGGTGGATAGAATGTCAAACAATAAAGTTCTATAAAGAGCAGGGGAGGAGTGGAAGTTGCAGCAACATGAGAGACAGAAGAAATATATTCGGCATGTTGAATTTTATTGGATATCGTTGAGGGAAGGATGGAAGGGAAAATAATAAAGCCTACAAGGCACGTGTTCCAAATAGGATTTTTTTTTGTTGTAAATACCCCCCCCCCCACACACACACACAGACACATACACACCGTATAGATGTTTATCTCTATTAATACTTCATATCTCAACCGCCTTCTTAAATATGAGATAGATTTAACAAGAAATCATTATCAAATGTAGCTTCATTACATGACTCCCAGCAGCATTGGGAAGGGAAGAAACTGCAACTTCGAGATTCAGGCTGAGAATCATGCAGACTTGGAATACATGTTTCTCAAGACGTAGGCTTCTCAACTGAATGCAAAAACCAAGTGAATCGCTTCTTGTACGTGGGACATTTCAATGACAGGTTTGCCTACTTCTTTGACTCCCATACTTGTTTGACTTCTACAAAGCGCCTCCTGCTACTCACTAAAACGGAATAGAGGAGAAAGACAATTAAATAATTTGAGTATTTGGACGTTTTACAAACTTATGGTTCACAAAATAAAATAGAGGAAGAAAAAAAAAAGGAACTTGAATGATTCGAATATTCAGATATGCTACTCGCTTATGGATTACATAAAAATAGGGGAGAAGAAAATCAGGAATTCTGTTATTAAGATTTAATCCTTAAAGAGCGGTAACGGAAAATCATTTCTGTAGCTGTTGTCATTACAAATTTACAGCCATTGTTTATTTAGGTATTAAGGTAAGCGTTTCAATGAATTTGGGAACATTGAGGTACTTTGGTAGCTCTGGACTAAGATACGCCAAAAGGGAAATCCAATTTGTCGTTCCCTACTGGCCTATCATATGGGTGGTCCAAGGTTAGAACCTTGCTGGATGATTACAATATAGGACAGGGTTGTTTCCCCAACTTATTATGCTCCTTTCTGTGTGTATTGAATAGGTACCTATCAATGCTTGGGCAGTTTTTTAAATAGTTCGAGCACATACCAGATCGCTTCGCAGAATACTTCAGCTGAATATATTTCTTTAGTGCCTTTGGCTTTGGGTTAGTACAAGGGAGTTCGACAATATATTATCCTTTCCATCGCCCGAGAGAGTAGTACTGGTACTTACGTTCATGTAGGATGACCTCGGCTGCATCGCCTAACCCAGCATTTTGCAATGCCAAATTAAGTTCATCTACTTGCTCACTAGGTCGAACGTGCCGTCTCCAGTCACATAGCATCTCACCAAAGCCTGACCTTGAGACACTATTGAGGTACACGTCTGTTTGGTCGTTGTATTTCTTCATAGATGAATAAGAAAGGCCGAGCTGGTAACCAAAGGATATTATATCCTTTGGTGTATGGATCACATCGGCTAGGATCTCGAGAAGATTGTTGGATACATACTGCAATCGACCATGCCTGTAAGTAAGTAAAGTCATGACATTCGGCGATGGGGGGGGGGGGTGGAAAATGAAAATATGCAAACAAATAAAATACAAGCTGAAAGATGTTTGGTAGTTTCCTTTGTAAGATATTGACATTATTCCTTGTCATTTGATACATCAACATCATCGCTCTCTATAGATCAAGAGTAGACTGACAAAAGTTAGTTTGTCCTCAGTAGCCATACTAATTAAGGGTATTTGGAACTTTCTAGTTACGCGTTAAAAATGATAAATGCTCAGTCTGATATCCATTTTCTGTTTAGTGTTACAAAGCCCGAAGCAATGTACAGGAATATCATTGTAGCAGCTAACTGTAATAGCTGAAGACGGGAGGTTGTGGAGAAGTTGTGTTTCAAGGTCTATTTAATTGTCGTCCCAATAGCCTCCGCAGTATAGGACATAGACGATGGGTGGTGATAAACGTTTACTTACGAGTCTGTGTGATCGACTGCATAATCCGGTTCATCTGCATTAAACGGAATAAATAAATACAATAGGACTAATAAAAAAAAAAATCAGCATTCGGAATTGCTATGTATTAGAAATAAATTGATGTGTTTTGAAGAAGGAAAAAAAAAATCACATTTCAATGGTGTTTTGTTTCAAACAACTTTTTCTCAGAACTTCAGAGGATACGATCGAGGGTGCAAACAAATATGTTAGAAAAAAATCACATCCAAACAGGGCTACACTACAGCACTCTAGCATTTAGTGTGTGCTATTTTTGAGACTTTACAGCTCATTTAATTGATTCTTATTGAATGAGCAGAAAAAATGAGATACAGTGGACTTACCAAAATGAAAATATGTAGGGTTAGTCAGGTATATATTTACTAAACTGACCCTTGTCTTTGAGATCAAAGATTGCAATAAATGACTAATGTGGTATATTTAAAAAAACATGATACAGGAAATATTTGTGCAGGATCATTGAGGTAACTAGTTACAAGTGACTTGTGTTAAAGTCTTTGAGGTAACTCGTAACAGAAATGACTGACGTAAGGTCTTTGAAGTACCTAGCTACATTTAATGAAGTGCACGACACATATTATCCTACTTCCTTATAGTATTGGCTTACCTTCTTTGGAAACGATAAACTCCTTTTCTGCAAGTATTGCTGGTCCTTGTAGTATGTCGATATGTCCGTTCTTCTTTCCTTTCTCCTCAGGAGAGAACTGAAGCTCGAAGTTCAGAGGGCTGCACTTTCCACTTAGTATACTTTTGATTGGCATCTTGGTTTGAATATCGTGGGAATAATTATAATAACGATGATAGTAATAAAAATGATCATGATGATAATAAAAATAATCATGATAATGATAATAGTCATAAATGATGATGATGGTAATAACAGCAAGAGCAATATAAACAATAAAACCAACAATAATAATAATAATATGATAAAAATAAGTATATAATACTGATAATGAAAATAAACATTACAATATTATGTTAGCATGTGCATGTGATTGTGTGATCGAGAGAGGGAATATATTGAATCGAGGATATCCTTAAATTTCGAAATTAGGAAGAGGTTTGATAATTCAGTGACTGTTTAAGAAAAAAATGTCACTTCTTTATCTGATTGTTGCATTTATTTTAAAAAGGTTTTGTATAGATATCATCTTAAAACGTGAACATCCAAGGAGCTAAATCCTAACTCCTTGGTTGACCACTATTCTTCAACGAACCTTATGGAATAAAATTCAGGCATATTCACCATTCTTTTGTTTCGTTTCGTCCCGTCGTCGAACAAAATCTGTAGGTCACTAGTTGTTGATCCTATAGAGAACGTGAATTCCTCCAGGACTTGGCAGTATGGTACAGAAGAACTTTTCTCCTTCCTCGTTAAATCCTGGAATATGACATATAAAACCCAAATCTAGATATTGCAAAATGATTAAATTGTACGCAGATGATTAACCTTGTAGATGATTAACTATTGTAGGCCTGCCAAAAGACAGATACATTACCTTTGCTTAAACGTATGCGAACTTCATTTAAAGTGTTGATGCATCAATGAAATAGTAGAATTTTTTTAATGAATAAACAGTCAGAAATTAAGTAGTATTAATGAAGAGTTCGGTCCCGAAATGTGTTACCTATCTGTTACATATTTGAGGCACCCCCCCCCCCCCCGTTGAGCCAAAAAAAAAAGTGCTTAGTGCATTTTACTTTTCCATCTGTTCACCCCTTCGCCCCTTCCTCATCCATTCTTCTGATATTTCCATCATCCCCCCCCCTCCCCTAACACATATCATTCCCTCCTTCCTTCCTCATTTTCCTCCTCCCAAAGACTCATCAGTTTCTTTGCCTTCTTCTCTTTTTGTTCGTAATTATGATCTGATATTGCAGTCTGATACTGTGAACGAAATAATAAGACGTACTTCCGTAAATTGTTAAGTGTTACCATATGCCTTTCGAAACCTAAATGGTCCGCAGGGGAACCATTTAATAATCACAGTTTCAAAGGGCGCCCGCAGATGGTAGAAAAAGAATATCTGATATAAATACCTCTATACGGTTCCTATATGGATGAAGTAAGTACACACGTAGAGTTGGTTTCTCTGCAGGAGTCATGAAGACAGGCTGGAAGACTACACATCTCAGCTGGAGTCCTTGAAGATCAGTCGATGACAGAGCCCAGACTTGAAGATGACGTGTGCAAAACGTTATCTTATCTTTTGATATTTGTGACAGAGTCAAGTTCCTACGACCGAAAGTTCCTTTGATTTAGAGAAGAAACAAATATAGATTATATTATCTTACTCCCTGATAATATAGGCTTATTAGTAGAGAAGGAATTAATTTCGACTTAATCCATGTTCTGATAGTTGACTTCATTTAAGCTTTGTTTAGGGAGTTGATTCGAATGGCATAGAGATAATTTTTCTTTATTATTGCAAAATCATTCAATATTATTTTACCAGCTCAATTATTGTTATAAACAGGTCAATTATTCACCTACTTGGTCAAATTATTGAGATTCAAATTGCAAGTTATGAAGTGTACTTATTATTTCAAGAGAACATAATCAAAATATGTCGATTACTTTGTACCTGGTCTTGTTCTCGTGTACAAGATAACAGGAGAGTCGTCTCTACGTTCATGTAGATTGGTGCAGTGTGGTAATACCACCGTGGCAGGCTTTAGCAGTTCTTGTGTCAGAGAACCTTCTACAACTGGTGTAATGACTACCTCACCCTCCCGTACAGGAAGCCTAGGGGTGTCATGAGTTGGGACGCGAAGAGTTACAACTGATCTCATCCCTTTAGGTATAGCTCCTTCAGGGACAGATACGGTAATACCAAGTTCTTCAATGGTCAGTTCTCCACCCTTGTGGTCAATGATGTCATGCGAGATGGAAGGCATATAACTTGGTTGGCATTTCATGGCTAGGGAAGATAAGAAGGAAACAAGCCATTGATAATCCCAATATGAAACATGAAGCAAACAAGACTACAGTTTATCTATACGATATATCAAGTTGTGCCAAATTGATTTCATAGTTATTTACAAGGCAGACCATAGTTTTTAATGTAAAGTGTTTGGGAAATAAACGTGTAACAAGGCATGTTTATAGACGTTTAAATAAAAATGTAACAATCATCTCGAGTCGGGATGTGATTCGAGTAAAATAGAAACAGAATGGTAATCTCGCTTTTCCAAATTTATTTTCTTAGAACTCTGCTGTATAAAGTAAAATATGGACAATGTTTTAAAAGATAGACATCATTAGCAAAATTTCCGAGAAGTTCCTGCAAATTCAAACAAGTTAATTTGTTGGCATACCGCGCTTCTTAGGTCTGAAAGATAACTGGTTAAGGGATAATTTCCTTTTGCGTGTTTTATCAACGCGGCTTATGATGGCTCCTTCTTAATATAAGTTTAAGTTGCACAGGCTCCTGCCGATTTTATAAATGTGGATATCTGTTATAGTCAGGCAATAGTAAGTAAACAAAATGAATCTATAAAACTTTGTTTTCCTCCACTGATCAAAGAGGCCTACCCAATCTAATGTAATGTGAAATACAGTGTAGTTGTGCAGTGGCACTACCTTCTGCTATCTTGACTGCTGCATCGTTAAAATGGAAAGCCTGAGCAACCCTCAGAAGCCTCTCCCTAGTCCCACCTTGGTGTACCCATTCGTTAAGCATCTTTAGAGTACAACGGCCAATCATGTGAGGCGGAAAGGTCACAAATTTGCTCATGATCTGCAAAACATCAGAAGATTTAACGTTCATGCGATGGCACAAGTCCACTAGGTCTGTCTTGGATCCAATGACTTTTGAGATTTTTTCACGGCCTGTGGACAATGAAAAAAATGCAAATGTCAATAGGAAGGAGGGGAAATATGTAGGTTAATGCAAATAGCATAATGATGGTGATGAATGAGGATATTGATGTCGTCTTAAAAAAGTGAAATCAAATGTAAAACATTGATGAATGTAGGGACAATTTAAGAAACCAAAAATAGTTTTCATGGTTTTTAGATACATTTTGGTAGAAATCTTTACCTACTAAAAATCGTCTGTACTACTGTATAATATACATAATTATGTATTATTATCCTATTGCCTTAACGCCAATAAACTGAAATTAATGGAATGTGAAACATAAATGAAATGCAAGTTTGAACTTGGAACTTTTCTTTGAAAGAGCAAAACGTATATGTTCTTATTAGCACGATTACGACTGAACCTAACGAACCTGTTTTGATATCTGGGATGTTGTACTCCGAGAGAAGCTTAGCGATCTCATCTTCTTTTTCTTCCTTTTTCAACCCATTCCGCCAACTGTCTATGAGCTCTTCAACGACCTTATGGAGTACTGACGAACTGGGTAGATCGATTAATCCAACAATGAGGTTATCATTCATACGGAGGGCTTTCCCAAGTGAACATGCAGTTGAAAGACTTTTCACTGAAAGGGCTAAGCTGCAAAGCTCTTTGGTGTCTGGTACTCCACCATGTCGGTCAAGGTCCAGAGGAGACTCCGTATGTTTTCCCGGAGTTACACTAGGAACATCATCTTTGAAGAAATATGATTCCTTGATTTAAAATAAAACATTTTAAACCCTTCTGCAATAGTTTGGCCAGGGGGATTAGACCTCCGTGCAAGGTCACTGACAGGTGGTTATCTCATCAAATCAATTCTCAATTAACATAAGAAAAGGGGATCATGGGGGACCAACGGGCACCGATAAGGCATTGTTTGCTATATAGAGAGCACAAGTAGCTATATGCAATGCAGTAGGGCTTTAAGAACATTCAATGTAATGAAAAATGTTCTGTTTGTTTGTGTAGGTGATTTTGTTTAATTTCTATAACCTCAGTTTGGTTCGAGATATAAAATTGATAATCCATACCAATTTGATATTGCAAAAAAATGGTAAAGGAAGATTAAGAACTCCTCTATCTCTACACAATCCCCATATCACTAGTATAATGACATTAACAGTGCATGAAGGTCATACAATTTTATGATTTCACAAACATGGACCACTAAATTGTGCGTCTACTTACCACAATCTGAAGTTACAATGATCTCCATATCTTCCTGCTCACAACTAGGTTCATTTGGTTTCGTCTTTTCCACAGGAGTTCGTTCTAGTGTACGAGAACTACCTTCGTCTGAAAAAAGACACATGATTACCTAGTAATATAATCTAAAAGCGTCGCATTAAAATCATGTATTAACCTTGCATTAAATTACTGTTAAAGTCTAAACTTTATAACACGCCATGGAATGTGTGAAAAACTATATTTCTGCACATTTAGAGAAATATATCATCCTAATAAACGGTGTCAGAAAGCGACCTCCCCGCTCTCCAGAGAGTGTAACATGGTTCACATTTATGGTACATGTTATTGTCTATCCTGCTGAACACTCTGTTAAAACCGGTAAATGTGACCTCGTATTGTTTATTTGCAATTTCTTGCATAGGAATACTTCGTGTTCTTATACAAGATAGTATGCATGATTCTTCTTATCCTGTGAAAATTGTCCTTGACGAAGTCCTGGATAAATAAAAAGAGATACTATGAAGCGTTTCACGTATTATCAGGCATGATTTTAATCGTTGTACCCATACCTTCTACGTTCTCCACCTTTGGTACTGCTTGGACAGACTCCCAAACAAGTTTTAAAGTCTGAATTGCTTCAGTCCCTGATGTTTGAGATGCTTTCCATTTGGAAAGCATTTGGATGTTAGCGTCTTTCCTGTTAGACAGTGTCCGGTGTTGTATGTGTTCAAGCTCTGTCTTATCGAGTCCCAGCTTTCCGCCAATCTCGGAAAACTGCTCTGGTTTGATCTTCCTGGAGAATGCGAGAAGTGTCTTGTCCGAGACTTCACTGTTGGGTGAAAGAAATATTATTTACACCAGAGGGAAAAGGTTGGTATATATATATATATATATATGAAGAGTTTCATTCCAAAAGGAGTTAAATCCACGTTGGGTAATTCTGAGTAAATCGCCTTTTTTTTATTTCTCCACTTTCCCTTCAGCCATGTACCTTCATGCTGTTATATATGTTAAAGGTGTCAATCTGAACCAATAATATATGATTAAAACAAACCTAGAAGTTGTTTCTGATTTTTTTAAATTAATTTTTAGATTTTTATTTTTCGTGGATTTAGCTCCTTTTGGAATGAAACATGATATTGTACCTAAAATTTGTGATATTTTAGAATATTTCCTCAATAAAGTCACTGAAATTTATTTAAATTTAGTTGCTAACCTTTCCTTTTAAATAATAACAGTGAAATCACATCTAAAAATACCTTTTGAAAAGAAAGTAAACAACTTATCACATTTTCATTCCAAAAGGAGCTAAATCCGTTTCATTCCAAAAGGAGCTAAATCCATGTTTCATTCCAAAAGGAGCTAAATCCATAAATTTTAATAATTTAGTAACAAATTAGAAATAACTGGAAGATTTTTTTCTTATCATATATTATTGGTCCAGGGCGACACCTTTAACATAAATAACAATATGAAGGTACATGGCTGAAGGGAAAGTGGAGAAACAAAAAAGTTGATTTACCCAAAGTGGATTTAGCTTCTTTTGGAATGGAACCAATTTGGATTTAGCTCCTTTTGGAATGAAACATGATATTGTAACTAAAAAAAATCATACTTCCTGGTGAAAATTTAGAATGCGATATAGTGCATTTTGTTCCCATGTAGGAAACCATTATTTTAAGACAAAAAAACTCAGTTTTGATAAAATATGGATTTAGCTCCTTTCGGAATCAAGCTCTTCATATATATATATATATTTAAATATACCAAGGTATATATATATATATAAGTGAGTGTGCGTATGCATTTATATATTCAATTTTGTCTTTGGCTTTCTCCCCCCCCCCCCCCTCATCTTCTTTTCTTTCCTCTTGTTTCTGTTTTCATTCAGTGTCATATCTAACGTTCGTACTGTTCTAGTTAATGCAATCTATCAGTAATCCCATATTCCTTTTACGAATACACAGAATGTTGTATAACACCTCTACATGTACTTAGTTTAAAGTCCATAAATTGTTACAGTATTATGAACTTGGATACCAATTTAAAAATATAAAGAGATAGTAGCATTGGATTCATAGACTCACCAAGCAGAACCGATGTCTGATGAAGGTAGATCAAGTGAAAGGAGACGATATACATGTAAAGATATAAGGAAAAAAGAGAAGACTATTTTAACTTGGTAGCTGATAGCAAGGTTGGTATAGCTAGTTGTTCTTTCTCTCTCACTGTTCTATCATGCATTTCTTAAGTGCTTGATATGATTAAGCAGCGATACTTACAACAATAAAATACTTTTAGAATGAGTAAAAATACATTCATTTTGTATAATACTTCCTTCCTTCAATATATTGCAATTGGAAGAATTTGACATAAACCACAATTTCCGGATATTTTACCCTTTTCTGTGAGAACTATACATACGATATTTTTGAAACTCATGACTATGAGATAATGTCAAACAAACCATACGAAATAGAGATCACTAGACATGCATAAACGTACAACATTAATTTGAACATAAGTGCCCTCAGATCTTTTGTTTCATTCTTTGTTTGATTAAAAACCTTTTGGTAGACATTTGCTTCGTCTTTAAAAAAAAAAGCATTTTGGAATAAACTATCGTAATCATACCCCTTATTCTTCTGTATTAGTAGCATATTTAGCTATCGACAACACAATCAAAACCGTTAATCTCTTAACAAACTAAAGTCGAAAAGAAAGTTGGATTGACATCGGCTAACCTGTCCTCTCCATCTCTTCAGTAGGTGAGTCTAAAGATTTCATGAGTGAAAGGAACGTTTCCTTTGCTTCTCGACCAGAGGCCTGTGCCTGTCGCCATGTTACCAACATGTCATAGGTAGCCTGCTGTCTGTCTCTGAACCTCCTGTATTCTATGACATCCAACTGTTGAATTCGGAAACCGAGAGCTACCCCCAAATCATAGAACTGATCCACTGTCATCTTTTCAGCAATGGTGTGGACATCGATATCTTCCAGGTCACTCCTCGATACTTCTTCGACTACCCTGCAAAGCGAGATAAAGGTATTTTCATTATTATTATCATTAAAATTGTGATTGCTGTTGTTGCTGTTAAATGTATCTATTTTTTATTATTATTGAAACTAATTACCGCGATACCTTTACAATTAGTTTCAATAATAATAACAACAGTTACATTTAACAGCAACAACAGCAATCACAATTGTAATGATAATAATGATGAAAATACTATACTACTTTTAATAATAATACTTCTAATAATACTAATAAAGAGCACACTCAAGAAAGGTTTCAACCAGCTGAATAATTATAAAAAAAAGGAAATACATCGATTGTTTACAGGCTGCAGTAAAATGTAACTGACGATGATGACGGGGTGATTGACCGAGGGCCCAGTGCATGACATAGAAACTGTTCGTAAAACAAGTAAGCTCCCCCCTGGTTGAATCCCAACACATATCATTGGGTAAACACCCGAATGGCGTTTAATTACCAGGGAGAATACACAATAATGGGTCTCTGACTTCGCTGAAGTGACTCCATTTTCCCCCAATGAAATCTCCTATTTATAATTCATGTCAGCTGCTATCCTAAACTCGATCAGTGGATAAGTGAGAATGAGATGGTGAGTTGTGCAGGAAGTCGTTTCGAATTTAAGACAAAAATCACCTTCCCTCCCCTGTCTCCGTCACCACCAACCCCCGCCCCCGCCCCTAATAGGCCTACCCATGCTGCCACTGATAAAACAGCGATATAAATGTAAAATTCATTTCATTGGCAAAAACAATAAAAGGAAAATACTGGTCCAAATGGAAGCTTACCGATCGAAGGAAGCAGGTTCTAAAGAAGGTTCATACTTCAGTTCATCTGTGATAGAAAAGAAATGGGGAAAATATAGCAATCGATGTTCTGATGTGTAGTTGCTAATAAGTAATCCTATCTAAACCATATTCTAAATTTTTTTTTAACAAAGGTCCTCTAAGAGTCCTACAAAATATACCGATATAAATCTGATTATGTATTTTTCCGACGGGTGTTCACTTTTAGTGTCAATATTTCTCAAAAAATGCACTGACTAACATATCGACTGGAATCGGAGGTCACACAGCAGCGTACCCTACCAATGAATCACCATAATATGGCTATGCAACTGTTTAACCTATGATATCGACATGGTTATGTATTTTAGTTCATCTCTTTCCAAGCATTTTTGTTCTTATTGGAGTAAATTCAGCACGATTGCAACGACTTGTGAATAAATTAACTCGAGCGCATTTTCAGTCCGGGCCTATTGTAATAATGTGTAACGCTCATGTCATTTGTATCTGTGCACATTTCAATAGGTGATTCAAAAGTTCGTGGAAATTGAACTAGTTTCAGTGTTTGAAATGGTTTGCGATTGTGCTATTCTAGTTTATCCATAACGCTTTAAACTCATACAACACTTTTCAGTTATAATTATGCTTCATCAGAACATTATAATGCCTAAAATAAATAGATATGGATTATACATACCTGAGTATCTGATTAAGAAAGCAACAGATAATGAAACCCCGACCTTTCCAGCCTGTGTAATCGTGATAATTACTGGGAAGTCTGTATTCTCCTTACGCGAAGTCACGGGTAGTAAAAAGCTGTGTTTCAGTTTGCTTTGAATATCTTTTTGAGAGATAGCCTGTTGTCCAGACTGAAATATGATATTGAAAATAATAACAATGATGGTGATAATAATATTATTGATAATAAAAATAATAATGATATTAATTTTGCATTATCCTCATTATAGTAATCATATTTATGATAAAACTGTTGATCAGGAAAGAATAATTATAAAATAAGGATAATCGCACTAACGAGTAATATTTAAAAAAAATCAATATATAGGTATAGGGAGTTAAATTTCAAAACCGTACAAAGAGTAAAGAACTAACAGATGTATTGAATGTAAACCATTAAACATAGATTTATATTAGGAACAAGAGCTTTCTGAATGCAAGCAGTCGAAAGTATACATCCGCCATCTGTGCAATTTTTATTTCCGCACATTTCACCAGAAGCTGAATTACCATGAGTGCAGTGAAATGGTACGACTTCATTGACCTCTGCATGACCTTTGACCTACTTTTCCCCAGAATCTCAAGAGGTCGTGTCCCTATGTTGATACACATTATCACCAGGTTTGAACGTCATATTTTATTTTATTTTTGAGATACCGCGTTTACAAGAAACTAACGGACAATAAGAAAATAAAGAAAAACAATTTAAATGTAATTACCTTGCTTTGCTCAAACTCATCCTGACGACAGCACGTGACTTGAACGTCACCAGACTTTGTTGCAATACTGATTGGAACCGAGGGATGAACCTTGCGGTATGACTGCTTTTTTTCCGCCTCTTGAACCTCCTGTGCGAAAATAGTATAAAAAGCCTTGAGTAAACGTCACAAAGTGAATCTTATTCAAATAAAAAGTAATATTCAAACTTAATGCAAGTACAATCGTAATGGCGGCAAAACGATACGTGATGCCGTTCTTGGTAGATCTATTGTTAGTGGGTAACCCCCCAAAAAATCATTTGTTTAATAAAAAGGTTTATTTCGCAAATTTTGAGAGACAAAGCATTTAGAATTTCAATCGTAATGGCGGCAAAACGATACGTGAAGATGTTCTTGGTAGATCTATTGTTAGTGGGTAACCCCCCAAAAAATCATTTGTTTAAGAAGGGTTATTTCGCAAATTTTGAGAGACAAAGCATTCAGAATTTCAATCGTAGTGGCGGCAAAACGATACGGCGTGATTATTTAGATAAAATTCCTGAATATGTAGATACAGTAGCTTAGATGTTTTGACTACAGGTAAACATAGCATGTTTCGAAAAAAAAAGATGGAAGATCGGGGACAGAGAGAAAAAAGGATATATAGCGAGTGGAAAGGTAAGAAGATAACTCCATCCCCCTACACCCTTGCCTCAATCTATAATCTAGTTCCTTCCTATTTCTTCTACGGTTGCATCTAATATGTTGGTTCCCCCGCCAATGATACCAGTGGCCTCTCTAGACCGCTAGACAATGCTATGATTATTTCATGGTGCCGGTGCGTTTTGCTTACCGCGTCCATCCCAGGAAGGTTCGCATGGATATGAAGATGCACTTCAATCTCTTTGCCTCTTTCTATCGTATCTGGGATGTATGGAGTGCACATAAGTTGGTGTCGGATCACCTGTTGTTCAAGAGGTATAAGAACCCACCACTCAGCACAGTGACCAATGTACAACTCAAGATGTCTCGTGTACACTCTGCAGTACGGTGGTTCGTCTGGTGAGCTGGATGAACTCATTCTAGATGTTCTTGGTAGATCTATTGTTAATGGGTAAAAAACCCAAAATGCATCTGTTTAAAGAAGTGTTATTTCGCAATGGAGCCGATATGTCCTTTAAACTGTATAGTGACATCCAATATTTCTGTCACTAATGTTGTCTTTGTGGAGAATAATTAGTTCAAATTGTTTTAATTTAGATAAGCCATCCCGACGAGCACTAATTCTCCCTTTTCACCCGTTTCTCTTTAATGAAGATGTCTACAGAAAAATTCAAGTTGTAAATTGTTCTTCACGACGTTATGGCGCTGTGATTACGACGATACCTAAAACTGAGGCTACCACGGAATTCAGTTTCTAAGAGTCAAGTTTTAGCGTACATATAGTCTATTTAAATTTATATTACCTGCTATGAATGAAAAACGAAGAACATAACCGGGCATCGTATACTCAGAATTTATATTTGCATTGTTTTATTTTGCTTCGTTATTTTACCCGACTGCTAGGAAAGCAGTAAACTTGTTAAAAAGCAACAAGGAGACAAACACCTTTAAGTCCTCTTCATTTCAGTCGGTAATTAATCATTAACCAAAGGGCACTAGCACATCGACTGGGTTTCGGAACCGAGACCTCCGGACTACGAAACCAATCTCTACCACTTAAACATATCGCTACTCATCAGTGTTGTCCCGAATATGCTTTGCTTGGTTTGATGCAAAGTGATGTCAGAGCATTCAATGTTTGTTTACTCTAGCATTAAAAACGGATTAGTTTCAGCACCTGACCAAATGAACTTACCGTCTACAGAATCCCATACATGTGAAACAATGTATGGTTTCACTTGATCAGGGTTGATGGTCAAGGTAGAGTGTGGTATCCTAATCCTAACAGGTTGGTGGAAGATCATGTTTGGAGGGTCACATCTGATCCCGTAACAGGCCACCGATTCATCATCTTGGAGGTCAACACTTGGAAGGTCTCGTAAGAGAGAAAAGGTGATCTTGCACCGGTCACTCTGGTTAACAGCCTCCGGAGGAATAAACATTGATACGCCATGGTCTTCTAGTTCAATTTCCTGACTGGTATTGCTTTTGACCTCAACTGAGACGATGGCAGGTGTTGATGGCTCATCTGTTGTTTATTCAAAACATAAAAAATGACACGATTATAAGAACAGATATTAACAACAAAGTAAAAGTGTATGGATAGCCATTGGAATGAAAAACACTATATTATATCTTTCTCATTCTAATCTTGTCCACAATGAAAATTGACTTCATGACCATTTACAAAAGTTGTGTTAATTATCAAACTCTGATAATCAAAACAAGTGTGTAATATTTAATTGAGGGCCTATAATAAATCAATAGGCTATTCTCTACATTCCTTTTTTGTCTAACCATCTTTTAATTTATCTTTTTTTTTTCCATTTTGGGACTCGTTCAGCGTTTATCTCTCGTATTTGACCATTGATGTAAGCCTTAGAGGTGGGTCTACATACAGGAATATAATTTAAGTGTTCATAAGAGGTAAGTTGATGACTTGTGTGTAAATTACCCCAAATCAGTAAATCCCTTCTTGTTTCAGATTGCAAACCTAAAATACCACGTTTTAATCATTGCTAGACTTTAATTAGTGACTTAATGGATAAGAAAAAATATATTAGGAGCACAAATTGAGCTGTTGTGCTGAAAAAGCTCTTGTGTTTGGATGTGCTTACTTCGATGTGACGTGATCTCCTCTAAAGAAGGTAACCTGAAATCAATCATACGTAAAAAGTGGTTCAGTCATTTCTATACAATTTAGGCAGAAACCTATCGAGGACAATTATTATTTTTTAAATGATGCTCTAATCTTAGCATTAGGTATAAGAAGAAGACAATAAAACATACCTTTGCACTGGTAATGCCGTAAAATACAGATTTATACAGAACTACAGTTAGAATATATCTTAAAAAAGAACATGGTAGAAAATTTGAATCGTTAACATGAGTAGAAGGAAAAGAGAGATAGAGTAGTCGACCTTGTAGGCGTGAATTAGAAGACTCGAACAAATTAACAGTCACAATTGTCACTTTGAATAATTGTCTAATTGTTCCACTAACACATCTCTTGTAAAATAAACTATTCACTTTTACAATAAAGCCATTGGAATTGCTATTTTAAAAATGTCATTCCGTTACCAAATCTCAAAAAAAATAGTTCGATCTGTTAGCAATCTTGTGCCCGAAAATTGACGGGGCAATTATATTCCTTATGATATGAAAGAATCACCTCGACAAAATCATCTGTTTGACCACTTCGTCCTTGGCATATTGGATTGGTAGATTGCCTCTCTCGTCCCTCACATCTAACTTGGCTCCATTCTCTAGGAGATAAAACACCAAGGCTTTCTCAGGAGATAGTTCGCCCCTGTAATAATCATCGGAGATCTAAAACAAAAAACAATTACATGTATATGTATTATTTTTAGTACAGTATCGTCCATCAATATTCAAGGTGGATGAGCATCGCAAAAACGGTTTTACCATGGACCAAGGTCCATGGTTTTATGCTGTCTCTTGGATTTACAGTAGTGTAAATCCCTATTTACGTTGAAAACTTCCCCATACACACACACACACACACCGCATCGTACACATTGTTTGGTAGGACCAATCCTGGGTTTCAGATAGGACTAAACTACCGACCTAGAGAAGAATGATATGTCAGGAACACTCCAATACTGACCAATATTTTGACGTAATTTAATTTGTTGTTCCGACTCTCGTCGGTCTGGTGTCGGTCTCGTGGCTGTTTCTCACCTTTCTAAGGGTGTCAGTTTGTGCCACAACAGTCTCGCTTTTATTGCATAGTTTAATGGCTTCATGGAGACACATATGTCCGTCAGGTGACTGGATATTGAGATCAGCTCCCTCAGAAATTAACTTCTCAATGGTAGAGGTGTGACCTTCTTGGATGGCAAAATGGATATCCGTTAAATCATCCTGGTCGAGCTGGATATAAGAAATTGCGCAGCGTGAAAACTTAATAATAAATAAAGAAACATTAAGCATTAACAGAATAACAACTAATAAGGAAATCCAGTGATTCGAGTCATTGTATCTTGTCTATGAAGTCTATAAAACAGCAATGAGTTCTAACTGGAGTTAAAATTATGTATTCTTAATAGTGGTAATACAAAGGCAGTGAGTCAGCTTAGAGCTGGTCAATTCTGAAACAAAAATAATAGGTAGCCAATTCATTATTTGCTCTAAATTGAATGTCATTGCTTGTTATTTTACATTCATGAATTTTATTGAAACATCAAGGTAGATGAATTTGAAATAAAGATAATTTTGTTCAATGTTTACCATGGAATTGAAACGGTCCTGGAATAGATCAGCAATGCTTCCGTACCCGAGGACTAAGGACAGGTGTAGAGGTGTCTGGCCGTGAATATCTCCTACGTCAAATTGTGCTCCTCCTGCCATAAGGACTTTAACAACATCAAGGCAACCGTTCTGAACAGCATCGTGTAAGGCAGTCCAACCACGATTATCTCCCTTATTCACCTCAGCTCCTTGGCTAATGAGATATCGCGTGACATCAAGATGACCATTGGTAGCAGCACTGCGTAATGCAGTCCAACCGTTAATATTTCCCTTATTCACCTCAGCTCCTTGGCTGATGAGATATTTAGTAACATCAAGATGACCATTGGAAGCAGAACCGCGTAATGCAGTATAACCGTTATTTTTTCCCTTATTCACCTCAGCTCCTTGGCTGATGAGATATTTGGTGACATCAAGATGGCCATTGGTAGCAGCACTGCGTAATGCAGTCCCGCTGTAATTATTTTCCCTGTTCACCTCAGCTCCTTGACTAATGAGATATTTGGTGACATCAAGATGACCATAGAAAGCAGAACCGCGTAATGCAGTCTTACCTTTTTTATCTCCCTTATTCACTTCAGCTCCTTGACTGATGAGATATTTAGTGACATCAAGATGACCTCTGTTGGCTGCACTGTGTAATGCAGTCCTACCATCATTATCTCCCCTATTCACCTCAGCTCCCTGACTAATGAGATATTTGGTGACATCAAGTTGACCCTCCTGAGCAGCAATGTGTAATGCAGAGCTACCGTCATTATCTCCCCTATTCACCTCAGCTCCTTGACTGATGAGATATTTAGTGACATCAAGATGACCCCTGGAAGCAGAACAGCGTAATGCAGTTCTACCGTCATTATCTCCCCTATTCACCTCAGCTCCTTGACTGATGAGATATTTAGTGACATCAAGATGACCCCTGGAAGCAGAACAGCGTAATGCAGTTCTACCGTCATTATCTCCCCTATTCACCTCAGCTCCTTGACTGATGAGATATTTGGTAACATCAAGTTGACCTTCCAGAGCAGCAAAGTTTAATGCAGTCCAACGGTCATTATCTCCCCTATTCACCTTAGCTCCTTGGCTGATGAGATATTTAGTGACATCAAGATGACCATTGCCAGCAGAACTGGGTAGTGCAGTTCTACCGTCTTTATCTCCCTTATTCACCTCGGCTCCTTGACTGATGAGATATCTCGCGACATCAAGATGACCATTTTTGGCTGCACTGTGAAATGCAGTCATAACGACATTATTTCCATTATTCACCTCAGCTCCTTGGCTGATGAGATATTTGGTTACATCAAGTTGACCCTCCTGAGCAGCAAGGTTTAATGCAGTCCAACCGTCATTATCTCCCCTATTCACCTCAGCTCCTTGGCTGATGAGATATTTGGTGACATCAAGATGACCCTTGTAAGCAGCACTGTGTAATGCAGTCGAACCGTCATTATCTCCCCTATTCACCTCAGCTCCTTGGCTGATGAGATATTTGGTGACATCAAGTTGACCCTCCTGAGCAGCGACGTTTAATGCAGTCCAACGGTCATTATCTCCCCTATTCACCTCAGCTCCTTGGCTGATGAGATATTTTGTGACATCAAGTTTGCCGTACCCTGATGCGATGTTTAAAAGAGTCCAGCCTTTAGTACTAACCTGATTCACTGTTGCCCCCTGACTGATAAAGTATCGTACTATATCAAGATGACCATTCATTACAGCGCTGTACAATGCAGAGTGGCCGTCCTTGTCTTCTTTGTCCATATTAGCTCCATTGCTGAGTACACATTTCGTTGTTTTAAGATGTCCGAGTGATGCAGCAAGATGTAAGGGTGTTTGTCCATCTGGAGTCGCCTTCTCCACATTAGCTCCATGATTTATGAGATACTCGATGACATTCTCCTGGTTATTCTGGAGCGCTATGTGTAAGGGTGTGTTTCCATTTTTGTTTATTTGATTTATGTTTGAACCAAGTTTTAACAAACTTTCGACGGCTTCAAGATTACCTTTCAACACAGCATCGTGAAACTCTTCATTCACATCATCCATATTTGTTAATGTCTCGCGGCATTAATGGATCAGTAAGTTCTTTGGTCGCAGATAATTATGTCCTATATTCCTTCCTTCCTATCATCTGAAGGCGGCAAAACGATACGGCGTGATTATTTAGATAAAATTCCTGAATATGTAGATACAGTAGCTTAGATGTTTTGACTACAGGTAAACATAGCATGTTTCGAAAAAAAAAGATGGAAGATCGGGGACAGAGAGAAAAAAGGATATATAGCGAGTGGAAAGGTAAGAAGATAACTCCATCCCCCTACACCCTTGCCTCAATCTATAATCTAGTTCCTTCCTATTTCTTCTACGGTTGCATCTAATATGTTGGTTCCCCCGCCAATGATACCAGTGGCCTCTCTAGACCGCTAGACAATGCTATGATTATTTCATGGTGCCGGTGCGTTTTGCTTACCGCGTCCATCCCAGGAAGGTTCGCATGGATATGAAGATGCACTTCAATCTCTTTGCCTCTTTCTATCGTATCTGGGATGTATGGAGTGCACATAAGTTGGTGTCGGATCACCTGTTGTTCAAGAGGTATAAGAACCCACCACTCAGCACAGTGACCAATGTACAACTCAAGATGTCTCGTGTACACTCTGCAGTACGGTGGTTCGTCTGGTGAGCTGGATGAACTCATTCTAGATGTTCTTGGTAGATCTATTGTTAATGGGTAAAAAACCCAAAATGCATCTGTTTAAAGAAGTGTTATTTCGCAATGGAGCCGATATGTCCTTTAAACTGTATAGTGACATCCAATATTTCTGTCACTAATGTTGTCTTTGTGGAGAATAATTAGTTCAAATTGTTTTAATTTAGATAAGCCATCCCGACGAGCACTAATTCTCCCTTTTCACCCGTTTCTCTTTAATGAAGATGTCTACAGAAAAATTCAAGTTGTAAATTGTTCTTCACGACGTTATGGCGCTGTGATTACGACGATACCTAAAACTGAGGCTACCACGGAATTCAGTTTCTAAGAGTCAAGTTTTAGCGTACATATAGTCTATTTAAATTTATATTACCTGCTATGAATGAAAAACGAAGAACATAACCGGGCATCGTATACTCAGAATTTATATTTGCATTGTTTTATTTTGCTTCGTTATTTTACCCGACTGCTAGGAAAGCAGTAAACTTGTTAAAAAGCAACAAGGAGACAAACACCTTTAAGTCCTCTTCATTTCAGTCGGTAATTAATCATTAACCAAAGGGCACTAGCACATCGACTGGGTTTCGGAACCGAGACCTCCGGACTACGAAACCAATCTCTACCACTTAAACATATCGCTACTCATCAGTGTTGTCCCGAATATGCTTTGCTTGGTTTGATGCAAAGTGATGTCAGAGCATTCAATGTTTGTTTACTCTAGCATTAAAAACGGATTAGTTTCAGCACCTGACCAAATGAACTTACCGTCTACAGAATCCCATACATGTGAAACAATGTATGGTTTCACTTGATCAGGGTTGATGGTCAAGGTAGAGTGTGGTATCCTAATCCTAACAGGTTGGTGGAAGATCATGTTTGGAGGGTCACATCTGATCCCGTAACAGGCCACCGATTCATCATCTTGGAGGTCAACACTTGGAAGGTCTCGTAAGAGAGAAAAGGTGATCTTGCACCGGTCACTCTGGTTAACAGCCTCCGGAGGAATAAACATTGATACGCCATGGTCTTCTAGTTCAATTTCCTGACTGGTATTGCTTTTGACCTCAACTGAGACGATGGCAGGTGTTGATGGCTCATCTGTTGTTTATTCAAAACATAAAAAATGACACGATTATAAGAACAGATATTAACAACAAAGTAAAAGTGTATGGATAGCCATTGGAATGAAAAACACTATATTATATCTTTCTCATTCTAATCTTGTCCACAATGAAAATTGACTTCATGACCATTTACAAAAGTTGTGTTAATTATCAAACTCTGATAATCAAAACAAGTGTGTAATATTTAATTGAGGGCCTATAATAAATCAATAGGCTATTCTCTACATTCCTTTTTTGTCTAACCATCTTTTAATTTATCTTTTTTTTTTCCATTTTGGGACTCGTTCAGCGTTTATCTCTCGTATTTGACCATTGATGTAAGCCTTAGAGGTGGGTCTACATACAGGAATATAATTTAAGTGTTCATAAGAGGTAAGTTGATGACTTGTGTGTAAATTACCCCAAATCAGTAAATCCCTTCTTGTTTCAGATTGCAAACCTAAAATACCACGTTTTAATCATTGCTAGACTTTAATTAGTGACTTAATGGATAAGAAAAAATATATTAGGAGCACAAATTGAGCTGTTGTGCTGAAAAAGCTCTTGTGTTTGGATGTGCTTACTTCGATGTGACGTGATCTCCTCTAAAGAAGGTAACCTGAAATCAATCATACGTAAAAAGTGGTTCAGTCATTTCTATACAATTTAGGCAGAAACCTATCGAGGACAATTATTATTTTTTAAATGATGCTCTAATCTTAGCATTAGGTATAAGAAGAAGACAATAAAACATACCTTTGCACTGGTAATGCCGTAAAATACAGATTTATACAGAACTACAGTTAGAATATATCTTAAAAAAGAACATGGTAGAAAATTTGAATCGTTAACATGAGTAGAAGGAAAAGAGAGATAGAGTAGTCGACCTTGTAGGCGTGAATTAGAAGACTCGAACAAATTAACAGTCACAATTGTCACTTTGAATAATTGTCTAATTGTTCCACTAACACATCTCTTGTAAAATAAACTATTCACTTTTACAATAAAGCCATTGGAATTGCTATTTTAAAAATGTCATTCCGTTACCAAATCTCAAAAAAAATAGTTCGATCTGTTAGCAATCTTGTGCCCGAAAATTGACGGGGCAATTATATTCCTTATGATATGAAAGAATCACCTCGACAAAATCATCTGTTTGACCACTTCGTCCTTGGCATATTGGATTGGTAGATTGCCTCTCTCGTCCCTCACATCTAACTTGGCTCCATTCTCTAGGAGATAAAACACCAAGGCTTTCTCAGGAGATAGTTCGCCCCTGTAATAATCATCGGAGATCTAAAACAAAAAACAATTACATGTATATGTATTATTTTTAGTACAGTATCGTCCATCAATATTCAAGGTGGATGAGCATCGCAAAAACGGTTTTACCATGGACCAAGGTCCATGGTTTTATGCTGTCTCTTGGATTTACAGTAGTGTAAATCCCTATTTACGTTGAAAACTTCCCCATACACACACACACACACACCGCATCGTACACATTGTTTGGTAGGACCAATCCTGGGTTTCAGATAGGACTAAACTACCGACCTAGAGAAGAATGATATGTCAGGAACACTCCAATACTGACCAATATTTTGACGTAATTTAATTTGTTGTTCCGACTCTCGTCGGTCTGGTGTCGGTCTCGTGGCTGTTTCTCACCTTTCTAAGGGTGTCAGTTTGTGCCACAACAGTCTCGCTTTTATTGCATAGTTTAATGGCTTCATGGAGACACATATGTCCGTCAGGTGACTGGATATTGAGATCAGCTCCCTCAGAAATTAACTTCTCAATGGTAGAGGTGTGACCTTCTTGGATGGCAAAATGGATATCCGTTAAATCATCCTGGTCGAGCTGGATATAAGAAATTGCGCAGCGTGAAAACTTAATAATAAATAAAGAAACATTAAGCATTAACAGAATAACAACTAATAAGGAAATCCAGTGATTCGAGTCATTGTATCTTGTCTATGAAGTCTATAAAACAGCAATGAGTTCTAACTGGAGTTAAAATTATGTATTCTTAATAGTGGTAATACAAAGGCAGTGAGTCAGCTTAGAGCTGGTCAATTCTGAAACAAAAATAATAGGTAGCCAATTCATTATTTGCTCTAAATTGAATGTCATTGCTTGTTATTTTACATTCATGAATTTTATTGAAACATCAAGGTAGATGAATTTGAAATAAAGATAATTTTGTTCAATGTTTACCATGGAATTGAAACGGTCCTGGAATAGATCAGCAATGCTTCCGTACCCGAGGACTAAGGACAGGTGTAGAGGTGTCTGGCCGTGAATATCTCCTACGTCAAATTGTGCTCCTCCTGCCATAAGGACTTTAACAACATCAAGGCAACCGTTCTGAACAGCATCGTGTAAGGCAGTCCAACCACGATTATCTCCCTTATTCACCTCAGCTCCTTGGCTAATGAGATATCGCGTGACATCAAGATGACCATTGGTAGCAGCACTGCGTAATGCAGTCCAACCGTTAATATTTCCCTTATTCACCTCAGCTCCTTGGCTGATGAGATATTTAGTAACATCAAGATGACCATTGGAAGCAGAACCGCGTAATGCAGTATAACCGTTATTTTTTCCCTTATTCACCTCAGCTCCTTGGCTGATGAGATATTTGGTGACATCAAGATGGCCATTGGTAGCAGCACTGCGTAATGCAGTCCCGCTGTAATTATTTTCCCTGTTCACCTCAGCTCCTTGACTAATGAGATATTTGGTGACATCAAGATGACCATAGAAAGCAGAACCGCGTAATGCAGTCTTACCTTTTTTATCTCCCTTATTCACTTCAGCTCCTTGACTGATGAGATATTTAGTGACATCAAGATGACCTCTGTTGGCTGCACTGTGTAATGCAGTCCTACCATCATTATCTCCCCTATTCACCTCAGCTCCCTGACTAATGAGATATTTGGTGACATCAAGTTGACCCTCCTGAGCAGCAATGTGTAATGCAGAGCTACCGTCATTATCTCCCCTATTCACCTCAGCTCCTTGACTGATGAGATATTTAGTGACATCAAGATGACCCCTGGAAGCAGAACAGCGTAATGCAGTTCTACCGTCATTATCTCCCCTATTCACCTCAGCTCCTTGACTGATGAGATATTTAGTGACATCAAGATGACCCCTGGAAGCAGAACAGCGTAATGCAGTTCTACCGTCATTATCTCCCCTATTCACCTCAGCTCCTTGACTGATGAGATATTTGGTAACATCAAGTTGACCTTCCAGAGCAGCAAAGTTTAATGCAGTCCAACGGTCATTATCTCCCCTATTCACCTTAGCTCCTTGGCTGATGAGATATTTAGTGACATCAAGATGACCATTGCCAGCAGAACTGGGTAGTGCAGTTCTACCGTCTTTATCTCCCTTATTCACCTCGGCTCCTTGACTGATGAGATATCTCGCGACATCAAGATGACCATTTTTGGCTGCACTGTGAAATGCAGTCATAACGACATTATTTCCATTATTCACCTCAGCTCCTTGGCTGATGAGATATTTGGTTACATCAAGTTGACCCTCCTGAGCAGCAAGGTTTAATGCAGTCCAACCGTCATTATCTCCCCTATTCACCTCAGCTCCTTGGCTGATGAGATATTTGGTGACATCAAGATGACCCTTGTAAGCAGCACTGTGTAATGCAGTCGAACCGTCATTATCTCCCCTATTCACCTCAGCTCCTTGGCTGATGAGATATTTGGTGACATCAAGTTGACCCTCCTGAGCAGCGACGTTTAATGCAGTCCAACGGTCATTATCTCCCCTATTCACCTCAGCTCCTTGGCTGATGAGATATTTTGTGACATCAAGTTTGCCGTACCCTGATGCGATGTTTAAAAGAGTCCAGCCTTTAGTACTAACCTGATTCACTGTTGCCCCCTGACTGATAAAGTATCGTACTATATCAAGATGACCATTCATTACAGCGCTGTACAATGCAGAGTGGCCGTCCTTGTCTTCTTTGTCCATATTAGCTCCATTGCTGAGTACACATTTCGTTGTTTTAAGATGTCCGAGTGATGCAGCAAGATGTAAGGGTGTTTGTCCATCTGGAGTCGCCTTCTCCACATTAGCTCCATGATTTATGAGATACTCGATGACATTCTCCTGGTTATTCTGGAGCGCTATGTGTAAGGGTGTGTTTCCATTTTTGTTTATTTGATTTATGTTTGAACCAAGTTTTAACAAACTTTCGACGGCTTCAAGATTACCTTTCAACACAGCATCGTGAAACTCTTCATTCACATCATCCATATTTGTTAATGTCTCGCGGCATTAATGGATCAGTAAGTTCTTTGGTCGCAGATAATTATGTCCTATATTCCTTCCTTCCTATCATCTGTTAAACCGGCATTACTTGAAATCACTGTGTATGCACAGAATGCCCATCGTAAAATTAGATTCGTTTGTCATCGAAGCTCGATCTGTTTGAACTGTGCAAAAGACAGTCGAATAAATGTAGATAAAAACTACATACGACTAAGCAAATAAAAGTTCATCAATACAAATACAAATACAAAAATACTTACTATGAGTATTAAATTCGCATAGAAGTGTTAATAGAATTGAACTTCAGATTCGTAACTCTTTACAAATATCAATATAAACCAAGGCACTACCTACAAGCATTTTTTGTTTAAACCCGGGAACCGTTATTCTAAAACGTGCAGTATAAAAATGAATTTTGTATCTCACTTATATCTCACTTATCGCTTTAGGCATAAATAGATAAAGCATTTTGTTAAAGGATTTAGATCACGAGAGTCAGGTTCGACTAGCACATTTGCTATTTTTACTCTATTTTACCATCGATCACAAACTCATTGTAAATAGTCCTTTATTGTTTTACTCTTAACACTAAATTTACTTATAACTATTTTTGTTAAATAATGTACATCTCTGTCGAACATGTATTCTAATTCATGTCAAGATTGTATTCATGTTTTATTGACATTATCATTGTACATTTATATATCTTTTGTTTTAATGTTTTCAATGGTGGTGGATAAATAAATTCAATTCAATTCAATTATTGTTTTTGTTATTTCTCACATAGTCCCGATATTCAATTAAACATGTTTCTTTAGGCCTACAACTCTCCATAATTGGATTAATCGAATTCGTTTTCACTGGCTGCCTGCCGTAGCAACAGACGTTTCATTGACGATCAGCCATGCATGAAGGCTTCCGTCTTTTTTGCTGTTAGGACAAATAGCCAGTGGAAAGGGTTCGTTTAATAAAAATATGGAAATGCAACCATTACTTTAAACAAACAAACTTTGTTATTACTAGGCATTTATCCTGAATGATTATGAAACGGCAAAAGATAAACTTTCTACAAATGTGATTTTCTCTTTGAAATTCAGATACCGTCTGCCAAATGACTGTAATTTAGTACCCGCTCTTCAAATTGTTTTTAATGACTCTTGCTTGAAGTATATGCATCATACGAATTGCATCAAGGAGGATCTAAGCTTTACAAATATGTGTCATTTATTAATTATAATTGTGAGTAAGTTATGATAAAACATCGGTAATTCTCGGTTTGGGTTTTTCTGGGACGCACTCTCTATAGAAAATATTGAATTTCCGTTTATCCGTTTCATCAAAAAGATTTTTATTTCCGTGTTTCTTACGACATAATAATTGTCCACACCCCCATCAAAACGACCCAGTTCACTTCCTTCACAATTCAAAGTTTGCTGTTTTTACCTTCGTGTTTTGAAGTCCGACAGAAATTTCACCTTCTCGATTGGCTGTTGTTTGATGTTTAAACTTCGCTTAAAGAAGAACTACTTGATAATGTACTGGTGATTTGTGCAAATGAAGATGGCGTTTAAATGCATACCATCCAAACTTAACCGAACACAACACCACTAATGCCTTTACAAAGCCAACGATACTGGAGAAATTATGAATATGATAAATCTGTCCTATCTGTGAAATTTAAACATTAGCAGTGTCCCGGTATTCAAATTATGCAAGGAAATCCGTTTAAATTCTATACTTCATTGTCAGACACAATTGAGTGACTGTCTGACATTTTTTCTTTTGTAATATCATACATAAAATGAGCTGCAACAGGTATGCCTACATGATTATTTGTCTACATCAAAAACCCACTACTTGCAATGGCCAAAATTAAGCTGATTGAATCTTTGTGCACCACATAACGTACGACCATTCGGTACAAGGGTCTGAAATTCAGATTATTATTTAAGTGATTGCAATCACTTAAGTCTCCCATCTCTCTCTCTCTTTCTCTCTCTCTCTCTTTTATATTTTATATTTTATATTTTTGTTATTACACACCTTTAAACAAAAAAGAGTAGCCCAATCAGAAAATTAATACTAGTTTTCGTTGTGGCCCTTCATGACACAAACAAGTATATACATTTCAACACATCAATACAAATAAATATAGAAAATTACAAAATACGACTTTAAGAAACAAAAAATTGCAAACCAGGTTATAAATAAGGATATCTTGATCTGCCTCTCTCTTTTGCTCTTCCTCTCCCTTTCTCTCTCTCTCTCTTGATCTCGCTTTATTCTCATTTCATCCTCGTCTCATATTCGATTCACGCTCGTTTCATGTCCGTTTCATCAATTTTTCTTTCATTTCCGTGTTTACGACGACATAATAATTGTCCACACTTCCATCTAAACTACTCAGTTCACTTCCTACACTTCATAGTTTGCTGATCTTACCTTCGTATGTTGAAGTCCGAAAGAAAGTTCACCTCCTCGGTTGGCTGTTCTTTGTTGTTTTAACTTCGCTTAAAGAAGAACTATTCGATAATGTACTGGTGATTTGTGCAAATCAGGATAGCGTCTAAATGTGTCCAGCCTAAACCAAACATAACACCACGAATGCCTTCACAAAGCCAACGATACTTTCCACGCATGCTTGCATGTCGTGCAAAAGAGGCGAAATACTGTAGAAGAAAATAATAAAACCTTTGTCACTGCATGGTGCAGATTTTTTGACAAAAGATAAGCCCCGTTGCACTTTGTAAATAGATCGACATTAAATATGTGAATAATATTTCAGCTTTACATATGCTTCATTCACAAGGCCAGTCAAAGCGGAGCATATCAATTCCTTTCATAGCAAAAGCGCTCCTCACAATTTCTGTAAATTTGGCAGTTTAACGCTACGCGTACCGCCTTGACCGGACTGTGCGGTATCTGTGCAGAGCTGTGTGTAGAGAGCTAGTCGGGCTGTATTCATTATTTCTTGGGGGTGCATAAATTGCTCTAATTATACGTACGCGTGTAATGCGCAAGTTTATTGTGACGGC